CACAAATAATACTAACACTTTGTGTTTGGACTTAAGCACAAGCACAGCTGGAGAAATTCAGGCTGTCAGGACTGGGAATTTCTTAGTTTTTGATGGCTTTGTACATTCTGTAATCTGCAGTGTCTCTCTGGCTGAGGGCAACTCAAATGGATTGTCAGAAACCTCCAGATAGGATTTAGTCATGAGACTGCCAGTCTGTTAAAAACTAACCTTTAGAGCATGTTTTGGGCTGGTTCAAAAATTACAAGGTTAAGTTACAAGTCTCTCCATCACCTCTGCACAAAGATGCTACATATAACCGTTGTCTCACCATGACAACCTAAAGGGGACAAATCACTTTAAGCTTTTTCCCAAAGATATATTGGGAAAATAACCTCAGCACCTACACACACAAATGCATACTTACATGGGTCAGTCTTTGCTCTTAGTTAGTTCTCCTTGTGGTCAGAGCTAAATAGGATGGCGAGCATGGAAAGAATTCTTTTATGACAATTACATAGGAATTTTGCTTAGTGAAAATACAATTCAACTCATAGATTGAGACTTGGGACACCACTTTGTTGTGTCAAGTCAGGTCACCTGAATTAAACTTTAAAAAATAAAGTTTGAGTTTGGATCATATTGTCAAAATCTGAGGTAGGAATTCTTCTTTTGCTGTTGAATTATCAAACAAGAATGCTGCCTCACTCTGTGAGAGACACTGGATTTGGAAATTGTTTAATTTCTTACCTCAGCATCATCACACCGTAGGACATAAGTACTGAATAGAGCTGGAGAATGGTTAATAAAATCCAAATGATATTTTAGTGAAATGTAGTTTTAAAAATGTGCAAGTTTATTTGCTCACACAGAGGTAGCAAGGCTAGGAAATTCTGCCAGAGAAGCCCATGCAGTTGCAGCTCCAGTGCAAATACATTTTTTCTTGCATGCTGCTCAGAAGTTCCCATTGTAGTGAGAGTGTTGCCAATGTCTCTGCTCAGTGAGAAAGCTAGACAGTTATAAAATCGGGGGAAATTTCCACCTGCATCCACCTGAAGGACCTTTTTCTTCCTAAAATGGAGCCTTCCCTCTCCTTTCCCCAGTGATAAAGTTCAATTTCAGCCCAAGAGGAAATCTTTGATTTTGTGGCATTTAGAAGAAAAGCTAAAGGAATGAAAGTGCTCATACCCAGGTCTTGATTCTTTGAGCTCCGCTTTCAGTAGCAGTTATACTAGTAGTTATACTGGTTAGCTCAATCAGGCATCAGTTCCTTGGGAAAGCTTGAAGCAGTGTTCCCTTTCCCTGAAGCAGCAAATATTTTGGAAAGACAGGAAGGACCATGCAGGGATGGAGGATGTTGTCCATCTTTCCAATCAACACTATTCCATCACCATGTAGGATTAGATGGTCAGAAGTTTTTATTCCCTGCATTTGAACTTGTAACCAAGAGGTAGAAGACTGAATTCTTTACCCGGTTATCTGAACACTGATTTACCAGTGTTTAAAATGAAACATATGGAAAGCCAGCTTAATTAATGAGACTTTTAATAGAGTTTAAGTATGCTATTAATCACCTGCTTAAGCAACCTGTAAGAGGGCAGAGCCAAGGAATACATTAAAGTCTACCTAGAGATAAAGGATTATCTATGGAGGATTTGTTTTGAAAAGCACATAGGGCCTTGTTTCAAACAAACAAACAAACAAAAATCTTTCAAATATTTCATAGGGAAATAATCCTGACTGTCACATCTGGTCTTTACCTAATTCTGCATAATTTGCCAAGGTGCTTCACTGCTTATTTTAGTAGGTTTTTATAAAAACTTCTGGGCCCCAGTATTTGTATGTTTTAAAAATACTTTTCACAAGAAGTTAAAATGCAGAATCTTTCATGTGTACAGCATGTTTTTCAGAGAATAACAATTAATTTGTATGGCCCCATGTGAAGCTCTGAAAAAAAAGGAAGTTGTAATGGATGTACTTGCAGGAGCTCCCTTTCTCCCTTAGCTGTAATTGTGCAAATGGTACTGAGATAATACTGTCATTGTTTGTCTTTTCCATGAAGCCAGTATGAAGATTAAAGTACCATCTGGCTTTCTGAAAGCTAAAGTTAGCAAACCTCTAGCTTGAGACAAACAAGAAGTTGGATCCCTGCTTGGGTGGGCATTTTAAATGTAACTTTGCCCATCTCCAGTTAAAATTCTCAACACAAATCAGCAGGCAGAGCTTTTCCCTCCTCGTAAGAGTTAGCATTCTAGCAGAAATGATTCGAAGCACATTTTCCTTGCGCCTGTTAGGTCTATTGTTGTTTTTATGCTCTAACAGAGTGTAAAGATAGAACCAACAAAGTAAAGCTTGTTGAAAAATTCACATTTTTTTGTTTGTTTGTGAAATACTTTTTTTTTCTGAAAACATTTTGAAAATTAACCAGCATTTTCACATTTCTATCGATTTTGCTATGAGGTTTTGACATATCTTTTTACTTAGTGTTCCTTCTAAGATCTTAAACCATTTGCACAATCATTGCAGAAGAAAAAAGAATCTTTTTAAGTCATGATTTATCTATGAAATCCATTTTTTCATTAAATATTTAGAAAGTAATTTCAATTAAAAAATGAGTTACATTAATAGGAAATTTCACAGAAAGTGAAAAGGAAGCCTTCTCAAACTATATGAAATAGAAATATTTTCAAATTGTTTTGTGAATTAATTTTTATTTTTTTTTGTTACCAGCTCTTCTAAAAACTGCAGTTGATAAGCACGTAGTGACTTTTAATGAAGTCAGAAGAATTCATCAGAAGGATTCATCAGGGCTGTTAGTGATAAAAATACTGTGTCTAGTTATGTTCCAGGCAATGTTACCACTAGCAGAACCAGAAACCCATTCTCGTTTGATTACTGCTGTATAAAATGTCGTCTATAAACAAACACAGAGAGGAACCGATCTCCCTGCATCTACCCCCTCCCTGCCAATGTCAAAGCAATTAAAAAGGAACTCTGTGTCTCAGAGACAAATATAATCACTTTTCAAATATCAACTGGAGATCATATTTTCCTTTGGGTTCCCTGCATAAAAAATAAGCAAAATTACAGGTGATAGAACAACAAAACAACAGAGTCTTAAGAACCAGGTCTTTGGCTGACCAGTGAGCTGTTTCAACCGATTAATGTCTGGAGCAATATGCCATATGCTTGTACTTTCCCTGTGAGCAGTTCTTTTTAGCACTGCTACACATCTTCTATATGGATCAGAGAAATTCCCCTTGCATCAAACCAAATCTCTTCCTGAGGCTAAGTAGAATAGTATCGAAAGTTCAAAAAAAGGCTACTGTCATTATGAAAAAAGGAATATAAATGATAACGTGGGTGGTGTTATAGTGCATGGAGGAGTCCTGGGTATAAATTTAGTGAAATCACCACCTGTGTTCCTTCTACAAAGGCAGCTGAGGTACATGAGCTCTTAATAGCTTAATAAATTCAGGGAACTGGCTTAGATTTACGGATCAAATACCTTCCTACCTATTCTTCAAGTCAATGCACCTCACATGGACAAATATTTTGTGCTGAAGTTGTTATTTATTAACTTATGGCTGTGATGGGAGGTTGTTAGGTGATGAATATCCTTTGTGGCAGACTTTGTGTGAGACCCCACTTGTATTAAGCTGTTGTTAGTCTTTCTCTCGTGAAAGTTTTTGTTCTTTTGCTCTTGCTATAAGAATTTGGTCATTTTGCCTATGCTGCAAGCTTTCTATTAAGTCTCACACCCTCAAATTGAATTTACAAACCACTCTTTTGGTGGTGCAGTGAAAAGGGATTGGCCACAGTGCTTAGATACCAACTCTGACTGTGTGATTCAGTATAAATGGAGCCACATTAAAAGGCTAGCTAGAAAGCATAGCCAGAGGAAGTGGAAGTCTTTTCCACTAAAATGCTTTACTATAAAAATTCAATGCTTGAGGTCCAGTCAAAATCTGGTGGTCTCAGTGGGTAAACTCAAAAGTTTACCCCAGTTGTGGTCATTCCTGCCTTTCTCAGCAGAGAGTATCTCTACCACAACTTCAAGGTTACCCTCAAATCCATCTGATAGCCAAATGACAACACAATCCTCATGTGGCTGCAGAGGTGGCTTTGAAGCAATTCTACTTAAAAAATAATAAGGAAAACTGTTGTTTGGTAGCAAGATACTTTGAGTAAAAGCTCCTGATTCTGTCAATGTATGCAAGCTTTAGCTAGTGAGACCATGAAGCTGAATTAGGGATTTCATACTTTAATGCTGTAAGCCCCTTTGTTGTCTTTGTGCTAGTTTTAAAATTAATATTTAACAAAGCTTGTAATCACTGCTCTGCATTTTGTCTTTGCTAGCTGAATTTTATTTAGAAATGTTTGCAACATAAATTCTTACAGCTCAAGCTCATTGAGATATTCATGTTTATACATGAATTTGTGAATGACTACCAGCAGGATTTTGCTTTAGTAGTGACTGTTGAGCAACACTGGAAAACATCCAAGATATGGGCACCAAACACTGACGTGTATGAAATCAAAGCCATTTCAGAAGATGATCTCTGTAACTATTGTCTCATCTTCACTGACTGTAAAAATGAGAAGAGTAACATTTGACCACAGCAACTAGTGTTTTGAAAATTAATTGATATTTGTAAAGCACTTCAGTGAGGTAGGTTACTCCTGATTCAAGACACCACTTCAGCATGAACATGCAAACATACATAATAATTTTACACCTAGCTAAAAGGTGAATCCTTTCTTTCTAAAATACATGACCTTGCTTTCATCAGCCGATTCGATAACACAAAGCTGTCAGTAGCAAGCTGTGTTGAGATTCCACTTGTCGTTTCATTTTGATCTGGACAAGAATATGTTTTTAATATCACTGGTGATTTCCTTCTGATGAAACATTCCATCCAGTGCATATCATAATTCTTCCTGTACTGCTTGTCAATAAAACCTGTTTTCTGTCTGAATATAAATGTGCTCTTATGTTCTTTTCCCTTTTCTCTCCTCAGTGCATAGTTTGGGACTGGGATTCCAATGGGAAGCATGACTTCATTGGAGAATTTAGCTCGACTTTCAAGGAAATGCGAGGAGCTATGGAAGGGAGACAGGTAGGTGGAGACAACCCAAAGAGTGTCAGTATACAAGCTTTGTAGAGCTCTGTTCCTCAGACAATTCTGTAATGCTGCAGATGACATTGCCTCGTTGTTTCTTGGAAGTTCAGCTGTTCTGTTTATCTCCTAGGCTGTTTTATGAGTTCACATTCTCAGGCTTTTCTTTCTGCTAATATTTATTTCCACTGAGCCTAAGCACGTGGTTTCTATGATGTGCTGTACTGTTCTGGCAAAGCAGAGGCACAATCTGGGTACTCAAAGCATTCCCCAGCTGGCCTACAGCCCCTTTTTTGGGTGAGGGTCATTCTCCATCTTTCTCCATTTCTCATGTGCTGCATTTATTGCTATCAGCTCTAACTGGAACCCATCATAATAAAACTTTCAGTTTCTGAAATATCTTATGAATTGCAGTCCTAAAGGAAAATGAAGTTGTTAGGTTATTAATAATTTCACTTCTTTATGTCAGCTTGATCTTTTCAAATTGGAGTTGATGGTAATTATTGAATGTGATAAATGATTTGGCATATCTAATTTGAGAAATTGTCATTTCCTATTATTACTTAATCCTGAAGGTGTTTTGATAAATCCTCTGAGGGGAAGTTAAATATGTTGGCTTTCTAATCTGCTGATAATTTGTAGTCACTGCTTCATGGTGATCTCAAAACTAAACAGAAGTGCATAATAAACTTTATTCAAGCTTTACATTAGGGTTATGTTTATAATGGGTTAATAGCAAGCTACCAGAGACAAAAGGTGTTTATTAAGTGGTTCAGTCAAACTATTCTATAGGTTGAGAAGTTTCTACTATTCTTCCGTATGTCTTCTATTGACGTTCTAGAGTTTTGCGTATATTGCTTATGTGTAAAATGCCATTGATATATATATGAGTCGTGTATTAACCCATTACAAATACATCCTGAACAGAACCTGAGTGTAAATGAAACCCTACTTTGTTTTCTCAGAGCCAAATTAAGTTAGAGGATTAAGACCCGTTTACAAGAGACTGGGCTAAATTTTTGCAGCTTTTACATCACCTACATGAAGTGTTTCCTGCCAAAACTTAAACCAAACCGAATCTGAGTGGAAGCAAAACCTATCTAAACAGGCAAACTAATTCCAGAGTGAATAACATTAACAAGGGCAGTGTTATGATAGCACCCCAGTTTTGAATGTAAGTGGCTATGGCTGGGAAAGATGCCATGTGAAAGTGGTAAAGGGTGAAACTTTTCAGCATAAACATTTCTTAAATGGCATCAGAGTCCTTCCCAAACAGCTTGTTGAACAAGACAAGAGGCTTACTGTCCAGAGTACTGAATGGCTGTGAAGGATAAACTATACATTTTTTAATCTGATGGAAAGAACAGTATTTTCTTTTCATCCCCAGCTAGTGAAAAGGATGATTACCCTGTCAGGGGCATAGGACGTTAACATGGTCATTTGTCAAACCTTGTTCTTGTCTATATAAACTCATATTGTATTAAAAGAGTGCCATCCAGGAATAATTTAATGTTGCCTTAATTGCCTAAGCCTTTATGTTGCTTCCCTTTGCCATCCTGCAAGCTGCCTTTCCCCTGTAACATCACAGACTGCTTTTCACTGTAAATGTGCAGCTTTTCTCTTCCTTGCTTTTAAGCTGTTGCGGCATTATTTCTCCCTTGTTGCTCTCATTTTATTGCTCTTGTGCGGTTACTCTGCGGGCTTGTACCTGCAAAACCTGATACTGTTGTTGTAGGTGGTTCTCATGGGACACAATTGCAACTAGCATGGGACTCACTTCTCCCCCCACCTCTTTTCTAACCTTTTTTTTTTCTAACTTCTTTATTTTTTGTAGTACATTCTGGGGAAGAAAAAAAAAAGTTTTTATTGGATAACATAGTAGGTAATAATAGTCATTTAAATGGTTAATAAATATTGTCCCAAAATGCATATGCACATCCCAAACAGCTTTTGCACCTGATGATTGCAGGGACCAGTTGGCACTAATAGTACAATGGGCAATTTGAGCAGGTTGTGGTGGAAACAATTTAGTTATTGAGGTAAAAGTATTGCGGGAGATCACATGCTGCAAGGAGAGGTTGCTTGTGTGTGGGACCACATCACTTGTCTTTCTGGCTGACCAGCAAAGAGCAATTTCCCTTTTTCTTTTCCCCTTTCTCTCTGTTCCTCCTTCCTACTTCTTCTCTCCTTTTCCTCTATCCTTCAGTTGTAAATGTTTCTGCTAAAGGCAATATGTGCTGTTGGCTGTGGACCCCATAATACGTCTTGGGTGCATAGTTTGTCTCAACATCTGTTGCGCAACATGGTGTGATACGATTAGCATTTGTCTTTTTTTTTTTTCCTTAGTTTATTCTCACCTAAGAAAAACACGTTCAATGGAGTGTTTACTTTGAATAAAGGGGGTTGAAGGAATGGCAGAGGAGGTGGAAAGTGGTTTGCATTCAAGTGGGTGTGTTGCTAGATATTTCTAATACGGAAGGCCACATCAGAGAAATGTAATTAAACGAGGGTGAGGCGATGGGTAGGTTAGATGTAGCCCTTCCTTCGTAGAAGAGATTTTTTCATAGCTTCTGATCAGAAAATGTTATGTTTTCCATGTAGTACTTTTTCCAGTCAGAAGAATAAAACTGCCAACAGCATCCTTCAGTCTGTGGCGTTAACCATTCTTTCATAAAGCATCTCAAGAGCGAGTGTCTTGAAGATGAGGACCAAAATCTGAAATCCGATCTCAACAGCTTTGGAAGCCAGTGTGAAGAGCAGAGCTCAGGTCTGACATTCCTGTTTGAGTAGCTGAGGAGACACAATGAAACTTTTTATTATGGTTGTATTTTAGTTCATGCAGTAAGCTTTATGGCCAGCTACAGTACATTGCTGTAGTTCTGTCAAAAGATAATCAAAACATCCTAGGGATTGGCAGCCAGGGTTTTTCAGTCTCCCAGACAACAGGAGAGAATAAGAAGGAACACTTACCATTGGCAGGGATGAGGGATCTCTCCTTAAGTACCAGCTGCAAATCTGTGCAGAGTTAAAGGAGGCTATACCAGTGGCAAGGTTCTCCCTCTGCCCATCAGCAGCATCTGTATTAGTTGGTGTCAGTTCCAAAAATTGTCATATATAATTTTAATTGTTAAGGATGAGAGTAGTATAGTAGTAGTATGTGTTGGTGTGCAGGAAAAACTGTGTGTCATCCGTGTGCTGCTAGTACCTCACATCATTTCACCAGTTCACCTCATCTCCATTTGGTGGATTTGAAAAGGATCTTGAGGTTGCCTTTTAATTGTTCATAGTTCATCCTCCAGAAAGCACTAATAGTATTCTATCTCATTCTTCAACCTGCTCCTCAAGTGAGATATGTCTTATTATTATTACAAGTCTCGTAGCCAAACTATCAAATGCTACAGAACCTCTTGGGATGATCAGGATGGATATGTGCTACAGGAGGTGATGGTGCTTCGTAGACTGTTGCATACCCTGGCTGAGTATTGATTATTCCAAATGTTGAGTGTCAGCTTCTGATCAGATGATTTTATGGTTGGCTTGCTGACTTGCCTCTTCTGTGAGATCTCTTGGAAATTTGTGCTTGAAACCAGGCATCATTTAAATAAATGTGAATCTAGCACTGACAGCTTGGTAGCGGTTGAAGCAGTAGTGTGTGAAGGAAGAAGAGAAGATTTCTTCTCTGAATGATTGATCACCTGTTTTGATCAGGAGTGGTGTGAGTAATTCATGAACGCCTTTCCTAAATGTGGCAGGTCCTGGGTGAGATTCACAAGTCTTGAATTGTGATGCCTTCAGAATCAGAGTTGCTTCTTAGCGACTGAAATTACTGAATTCTGGAAAAGCTGGTTGGCCTTTGGTTTGTGATCCAGGTGAAATCAATTCATGCTTTTTAAGAAAACTTCCTGATAATGAAAAATCTTTTCAGTGACTCTGGGTAATAGCTTGGTGTGTGTTTCTGTTCCTTAATAATTACCTTGTTGTCACAGACTGTTGTTTCCTGACAGGTAGCCTATTTTCCTACTGACCACCAATAAGAAAGGGGCAAACACATCCTGTTGTTTAAATGTACATCAGAAATAGACATTTCTAAGCCTTCTGTTTAGCATTTCTCACCAAAATTCATCATTTACTCCTTCATCATAATCTTGATACACACACAAAATTAAGAACAAGTCCATCACTTTTTGTGACAGTATTTTTTAGTGAAATACTAGTAAATACTTAGTTTATTGTTGTGGGTTTTTTTTGTTTGTTTGGTTGGTTTTTTTTTTTGGACATGGCTTCAATAAAACCAGAGGGATTCAGAAAAAAATGTCATAGAAACAGAAATCACCTGGATTCTCATGCAATGCAAGGATTACATAAGGGAGAAATCTGTTCCTGTGTTCCTATATTACAAAAAAAAATGAACGTGTGTGTGTGTTCACACACGGAAAGGAAAGGGGAGGAAGAAACCCTACTGTGCTTACTATCTCTAGTGCTATTACCGCAAGCTGGAGGGCTGCTGAGGTCCACAAGATTGGGTGCGATCCTTCAGGAATCTCAGCTGGTTTCCCCCATTTGTTCAGGTACCTGACTATGAGCTTCATATCAGGGCTTTTGCTTCTTTAAGTAGCTAAGCACAGATGGGACATAAGAATAGTTTGGGGGTTGATTATCATCATACGCAATAGTACTTATATTCAATAAACAGGAGACACTTAAAACCAGGTAGTTCTCTGTTTCAGATTCACTGTGGTGCTTGACAGAGAAAGACCTTGTATTGCCCAGAGCTGCCAGGCATTTGGAGGAAACGTTAAGTGACTTTCAGGATGACGAATCCAAATTTCACAATGTTTACCATTAGCATCAGATTGCAGACTCTTGCATTAGTTTCCACTTAGCTGAAAAGTTAATTTAAGAGACAAAAATGAATCAATAAAAACAATGTCAGATACCAAATCAATACCGGGAATGTAAGAGCAGACTGAGATTTGGGCTTGTCCTCACAGTACAAGCAAAATATTTCAAAGTTGTTTTGCATTATTACTTACCCGCTTAGAGCTGTATTCTGAATTCCATTGTCTTTGGAAGAGCTGGAGATGTGACGAGGTCTGTATAGGGAATTTCCTTCAAAGGACACTAGTCACATCTTCAGCTTGAGCTGTGGCAACTGGCAAGGTCAGAACCACATCTTGGTGTGTTACTAAAGATTGAGAGTTTCATGTGAAAGTCTTACCTTTTTAAGCCTACCCATTAACAGGGGATGGACTCCCTTTCCCTTTCCCTTTCCCTTTCCCTTTCCCTTTCCCTTTCCCTTTCCCTTTCCCTTTCCCTTTCCCTTTCCCTTTCCCTTTCCCTTTCCCTTTCCCTTTCCCTTTCCCTTTCCCTTTCCCTTTCCCTTTCCCTTTCCCTTTCCCTTTCCCTTTCCCTTTCCCTTTCCCTTTCCCTTTCCCTTTCCCTTTCCCTTTCCCTTTCCCTTTCCTTTCCCTTTCCCTTTCCCTTTCCCTTTCCCTTTCCCTTTCCCTTTCCCTTTCCCTTTCCCTCTCTCTACTACCACATCAACAGATAATAATAGGTGCAAATTAATTCTTGCTTTCTAATTTTCTATTTTCTAGGAATTTTCTAGCTTGTTCTTTGAATTGCTTTCTTATCCACATCACCCAATGATATGTTAGTGATTTGCATTCCAAATGTAGGCGAACATTCCTACGTATGTTTTACAGTTATCACAGAGAAGCTGAGAGGAGCAGATTTTTCTCCCCTGAAGTAGTTTTTACACTGCTTTGGTCCTCATATAGTATAAACTTCTTCCAGAAACCAATGACATTAACATAATAAACATTATATTCAGGCTTAAACAATCTTTTTTTGCAAAGGAAAAGCCAGGCATTATTGTCTAAACATAGACATTTAGAAGTGTTCATGTTGGAGGATGATAAAATTAAGGAACTGCACCTTGAATATTCAAGGGAAAGCATGAGATCTCTCCAGCGTAGTGCACTGGCAAAGCGAGGAGCAAAAATCTTGACCCCTATTTTATCTCTCTATTCAGTATATTACAACTTCTCTGTGATGTACAGACAGCACAGATTCTCTGTAGGAATGTTTCCAATAAGTTTGGAGATAACTGTGCTAAACCATCTTGCCAGACAGCAACATATCAAGACGTGGGCAGTGATTTTCCCTCACTGTCAGGTTTCTTTTCCAAATAAAGAGCTTATTGTGCTCTTGCGTTGTGTCACAACAAGCTCTCTGTAGTTGGAAAGAAGGGCTTTTATTTCTTGAGCCTGACTACCTCTCTTGAGTAGAGAAAAAATGCTTATGGAGGATTTTCCCTGAACATGTGGGCCTGTGTCTGCCTGTCTTCTCAGTGGAAAATTCATTTCACGAGACAAATAATTGAGCTGTAGGCTAAGCAAGCAGATGTGCTTCCTGCAGTTGGACCATTTTTTTTTTTTTTTATCTTTTCCCATTCTTGGCTCTGTCGCCTGTCTCCAGAAATGCAATGATGAAAATACTGCTCCTCCCCTGTGCAAAAGAAGGTCTCATATTGCTCCAGAGCCATATGTTTTGCCTTCTTTTTTTTGACACTTGACAGAACTCCAAGCTTTAAATACTTCAGTGACATTGAAATAATTGGTGTTAGGAAGTGGCTTGAAGCTCAACATTTTCATAAGTTCGTATAATAAACGTGATTTTACATGCTCAAACACTCTTCTCAGACAAATCTGATACGAAGGTCTACACTATAGGTAAAGTATTGTAACACTTAGATATATTTCATTGTAAAATGTCGTAATGTGGATTTTTAGCAGAGTGTCCTGGTTCCTTTTGAAGATACATTCTTTGTTTTATTCAGCATCTGGTTAGAGGTCACCTGTTTTCTTGCAGCACTTGAAAACACCTCCCTGAAGGAAAATAATGTGTTCTTAACCTTACTTAATAACACATTACACATACAAATCTGGTTTTAAAAATGCTTATGGATACTTGCACATGCAAACATGTATTTTGCTCCTGCAACAACACATGAATAATATTTTAGTAATTAGCTGTCAACGTCTGATAGTTCAGCTTTATCAGTCTGGCTGAAACCAGAGAAGGCAGAACATTTAAAATGAAAATCAATAAGACTCTCAGAGATGTTATGATGGAAATAAGGTAACATATTTCAGTAACAAAGTAGAACTATTTTGCTTTAGAAATTAGTATTTGTAAAGAAAACTAAACAGAACATTTGCAAAGAAGTTTAAAGAATATATTCTTAGGGATAACTTTCAATTTTTAATTTGTTAAATACATCATTAACTAGATGCAATTTCTTTCCACATTTTAGTGGTTTTCTTAACTTTTTGTTTTATTGTCAGACTTAAAGGAGAAAGTCTTGCTCTCTTTCAAGAAAGAATGACATGATGTCTGATTAGAATTTCTCTAATTAGGAGTTTAATAGAAAACACCAGTGATACTGTGTATGCAGTTTTGCAGCTAAAAGAATACATCAGGTTGCTTTCTTGGGTATTTCAATTGTATTAAATTCCTTCTTATTTTGTCTCCTTATATAATCTCAAAAGATCCTAAATTTTGCTCACATAATACCTGAACCTACAGAACTGGAAGTTGACAATGCAAAAATCTGGGTACCTCTCTGAGCACCATGTCCGCATGCACCCAACTGAAGACAGATGTTTGCCTCGGGACCTTTTCTGTTAAGTTAATTCTCTGCATAGTTAATGTTTTTAATTATTTCTTGTGTGTGCACCATTATTGATAGGATTCAGTCAACTGTGGAAATCAGACACTACCATCTTTGCTAATTATTCAATGTGTACATAATTTTTCCTTCATGTAGTGACCTCTTTTTTTCACAGGTACAATGGGAATGCATTAACCCCAAATACAAGGCAAAGAAGAAGAATTACAAGAACTCAGGCATTGTGATCCTTAACCAGTGCAAGGTATTTGTGTTTTGCTCATTGTCTGCTTCTTTTCTAAGCTGTCAGTGATGTATTTTAATGGTGTTTGGAAACGTAGACTACAAAGTGGAACTGTCTGGAGAAAGCAATAGAAACTGATCCACTACAAAAAAGTAAAGACAAGGACTTGGATCCCAAAAGTAAGCTAACTGTTCCCAGTGTTCCTCTGTAATTTCTCTTGTCCTGTCTCTTCTGTTGTGCAATGGAGTAGGCAGTACTAAATTCATGACTCCAAGCTTGCCAAATGGCCTCATGTGTATTTCCCTTCCAGTCCTTCCAAAATTCACATCTCTGAACTTACAAATTTTTTCTTGTTCCTCTTAAACCAGTGGCAAAATTCTCATTGACTTCCAACTGAGAATGAATAGAGCCCAGTTCTATTTTTGATATCAATTTATGTTTCTATAGTTTTAGAATCATTTTGGTATTTTTGCTCTTTAAATTTTTGTTCCTTTCTTCAACTGTATGAAACACTTTCTTCCTGTACCTTATTTTCAGTTGGTCCCTCCCTTTCTTCCAGTTTACTTTTTTTCAGGCAGTTCCACGCTCTGATATTTTATCAGTACACAGTTAATTTACATATCTTGCTTTCTTGTCTGCAGATCCACAAGATGCATTCTTTCTTAGATTATATCATGGGAGGCTGCCAAATACAGTTTACAGTAAGTGTCTTACTTCTCTAACGTGTTTTTAAGAAAGAGAATCCCGTTAGATACTGATTCATCACTTTCATAAAGAATCTTATACATCATTCCTTAATAAGTTATTAAGGTGTTATTGCAAAATGTATTGTGCCCAGAAAATAAACCTATGCTAATGCAAGTAGGAGTTTTGTGCACATACTGATTTATTATGTTTTAGAGCAATGACAATCATGTTGCAAAAAATAATGACGGCTCCAAACAGGGGGCAAGAAGATGATGCCTAAATTAATGCTGATCTCAGTTGTAAGTCCACCAGCTACAGTATTGTGCAAATTCGTCACTATCAGTTTTCTACCTACATGGAACCAGGGAAAGTCAATGTCTCTGTGCCTATAGCTCTGTTCATTCATAACCTAGTGGTTCTACTTAATCACAAGCTGTCTGCATGTTTTACTTCCTGCCTCAGTTGCATTACTACCCATGATGATAGCACACGCTGCTTGTCTGCCTTGTTGCTGTCTCCAGAAATGTATCAGAGATTCTCTTGTGGGCACTGAAGCAAAAAACTGCAGCCTACAGTAAAGATATTCTGTGCTTCCTTGCTTTCTGTTTATATTATATGATCTCCTTTTATATATATATGTCCTATATATCTCTTTTTCACATAGGCCTGATTTGGTTACTTCAGACCACTGCAACAGATCAGGCCTATGCCTTCCACCTTTCCAGATTTCCATTCCTTCTGATAGGAACGGGACATTGGATCTGGAATTGTTTGAAACTGTCCCAGTGCATTTACTGTTGTTGTTGCCTTAATGTTAATGACATTTCCATTGAGTTCATGCCATGTACAGTCAACACGATGCAGCTGTGATCTGAAAGGGCACTTGTGGGAGGGAAACTGGGAAGCTAAGTATAGATTTGGTAACAGAAAGCTGTAGTATGATGTACCTGCTCATTTAAGGCACTGATGAGGGCTATGGTAACATCATGCTGTGTGTTCTTTGGATAATTTGTACATCCATTGTAGGAACATAGTTTGTAGTTAGAAAGAATGTCTCTGAAAAACCCAAGTATACTTTTCCTTCACTTTAAAACCGTTTATTAAGAAGCCTTCATCTTCAGAGATCAATAGTGCTGATTCCAGGCCATTACTTTTATTCAGCACTTATTGCAGCACACCGTATCTCTTATCAGACAGTGTTCCCTGCTGTACAAGAAATATTCAGAAGCTGGCAGTGCAAATGGGTCTGTAGTCAGAAGACATTTTCATCACTTTAGGAAATACAGCAGAAAGGATGTGTACTATGCATAAAAGGAACTGTAATAGAAAGATATATTGGACAGATTCTCTCCTAGACGGGTCATGGTATTGGACAGGCTGATTCTTTGCTGACAGATCTAGCAGGGGATCCTACCTCTACAGGATATTTTCAGTGCATTGAAAATCACCCTTTTACAAGACTGAGAAAAAAATAAGTGCTAAGAGTTATTGCTATATTAGGTTTTTATTTAGATGTGGGAAGATGACTTGTACATTTGAACTAGTATGTTTAAAGATACACTGACAAAAATCAAATCTCTGCACTGTAAAAAGGATTCCTGCTTTGCTGATCACAAGAATAGCTTATTTGTGATCTTAGCCTAGCTCCTGTGTTATGCTAACTTCGTATTTCTAATTCTTCTCCTACTTATTTGCACAAGATCTCAGTACTGTCAGGTAATGCTAAAAGAGAAGGGATCTGTGTTGTTATTTTGGAACCATGACAAGTACCAATGGTCATCTTTTGTCTTTCCTTAGAGAAACAAATTTTGGATCAAAATCAAGTATAGTGCATCAGAGTATGAACATTCATAGCATGAGCATTTAAATAAACACCCCAAAACTATGCTAATCCATTCAATTATCCATGTATTTACCTTAGGTTTCACAAACCACTAGAGTTTCTTGCTCATTTCTGACAGCTGTGGCACAGATAGTTACGTATATGCATGCAGGTTAAACATCAGGGGTTTCCTGTTGATTTATTCAAGTTAAATCAAGCTGTCACTTTGGGAAAAAGATCTATGTGGAAAACTACCAGGCTTACTGCTCCAGTGCTTGAGCAATGAGCAGGGGAGTGAAGGTGAAAGATTGCTTTGTTTGCAAGCCAGATCAAGCTTACATCTCCTGACTGACACACTGTGGAGCATGGGAGGCTTGTAGTTGATCAAGATGACAAAGGGATTTGCAGCTAACTAGAGCCCAGTGAGACATATTTTTCTTCAGCCAAGAGTTAGCCATGGAAAATCAGAAAAGGTAGGGAAAAGCCATATTGAGTTGATGCAGCATGATACTTCTCTTTTAGCGTCCAGCAACAGCAACAAAAAACTTTCAGGGCTGTGTCTTTTTTAAGGGAGAATGAAGATGTCATGTTTCATTTTCATTTTATAGCTGTGTAAAATAGTCTTCCCCGTGCCAAGCAGACTCCAGCTGGGGAAGGTGCACGTTCGCAGAGGCAAGCTGGGACTTTCAAAGTTCTTTTTGCAGCCCTCAGCAAGCCCCTTACATTTCAACTGCACAGTAGAACTACAAAACTGAATTCAGTACATCTGTAGCTATTGAAGATCCAGATATAGCGGGGTTTTGGAGGAAGAGGTCACTGAACAAAATTGTAAGGAAGTTTGGTAAATGGCTTTGTTCCCTCTAAGAGACCAGATGGTTTTCTTGATGCTCCTCTTTGGAATTCCTTGAAAGCAACATCACAAATTCAGGAAAGAGCTTTCCAATCCATGCCAGTCATATCACAGAAAAATGCATGCAAGATATCTCTTCAGTGAGAAGGATAAATGGAATTTTAAAAGGGAAGAATTAATTTTAAAAGGATTCTTTAATATATTGTTTTGGCATTGAATGCTTCCACACAGCCTCCATAAGGCTTTTCAACACAAAAATCTGTGCAGGATTGAAGCTGTATTTTCATCCTGCAAGCTCACCTTTAGCTTGCTATCATCTGTGAAATTGGGAGGGTTAATTATTTAGTGCTTAGAAGATGCTTTGGAAAGATAAAAAAGTCCACCAGAGTATTTACTGTAGACACTGAGAATATTATTACAGACACAAGAAGGTACAAAATAGCTACGAAATGTGCCTGAATGGAGTTTTGATTTATAGTTTGAGTAAGAATTTTAACTCTCTAGGGACATTTTAGCTGCACGACGTTTATGTCCTGAACATTACCTGAGCTGGAATAATTTAATTAAGTTTGAGAACCTAGAGATAATTTGATTCATTTTTATTAGAGCATAAATTCCCCACATAGAATAACTTATCCAGCTTTTTTTTTCTAGTTATACCATTTTAGTTTTATTACTCTTATTTTATTAGCTGCTGTATACTTTTAGAAATAGTTATGGCTACTATCCTCATTCAAATTTGATTAAGTACACTGTGAAATGAACCTTTGCTTTAAGGTTGCAGTCTCTGCAGAAAATTGGTTTTGGTAAAGATAAATGTTTCGTGTGGCTATACTCTTTCCCAGAACAGCACCACAACACATTGACTTTTCTTCTATTCCAGGTAGCTATAGATTTCACCGCATCCAATGGTGATCCTAGGACAGCTGCTCACTCTGCACTATATCCACCCCTATCAACCCAATGAGTACTTGAAAGCTTTGGTAGCTGTTGGGGAGATTTGCCAAGACTATGACAGGTAATAACCACATTTGATAACAGAGATGTCTTTAGAAAGTGTTTTTCACAGTGTGAAATCAATGACTGCCTACTGCCAGCTGCAGTAGCTCATGTTAGGTCACATTAAGAGAAATGACTGCATGACAGAAAGTTTAGTGTACCATACCACAATGTTGAGAGTGACAGTGGGTTTAGATTAGTTTCATGGCAATGAAAGGTCTGGTGTTTTGGCTGATATATGTGCTAAGTTTTGAGTTTCTATCCATCTGCCAAAATTACATTTTGAAGTGGATTTTTCATTTGTATTAAGCTTGGAAGCCTGTTTCGGCAGTTGCTGACACAGCATCCTTATCATCATACGCTTGGGAGTATGGTCTGCGCCATCCTACATGAAAGTGTTCCCAAGATTCATATCTGAAACTAAATTTGTAGTTGCTTAAGCTGCTTAGGGGCCATGTCTGTTCTTAGATTTAAATTTGTGGTCTTCTTCAGTGTTCTGTTAGCTTCTCAAATATTGCAATATCTTCCAAACTTAATATTAAAAGGTACTGATAATATGTGCAATACAACACGACAATAAATAAATAATACAAATGCTAAGTAAATTGGGCCAAATATGCTTTGGATTACATTATGTACCTTCTGTTTGCGTTTGAATAGGCTGTCTGTCTCTATCAGATTAATTGCCCATTATTAATCTAATTACCAAGTACATTTCCTTTAAGATGGTCTTTCTTTGCTGGTGTATGCATAGTATCTTACACAATTATTCTTTCTCATCTTTGCAACATGTATAGGACATCACCCACCACTTTGCCGTGTGTAATGCCAGATCTCAAAAAAAAACAATGGTATTTCCAGTCAAATTTGATTATACTTTCTGTATAAATTGTGGAGGGACTTAATTCTGTGGTTATATATGTGTACATGTCGCATATGCTAATTACCTGCTCAGAGGCACATGCCATTGCATGGTAATGAAATGCCTTCTTGAAAAAGAATGAAGAAAATACTGCCCTGATACAATTTCTGTAAGAATTTGATGGTCAAATGTAGTCAATGAGTCTGAGAAAATTAATATTTTATTGTAAGTGAGCTGATAATTCCACAGTGATTATCCATTAATTTAATAATGCTATTAAATTAAATCCACTAATAAATTCAGTGGATGGTATACTAAAAAATAATGAAAGGAATAGAAATAAGAGCTGGTTCATGCACACAGATTGTTTTTATTTTATTTATTTCACCACTTAAGGTGCATTTGTTAAGAAAATGAAATAGTTAAGTGACCCAGACCCTCCTGTATGGAGATATTTATCCAAAAATCAGGATTATTCTCTCAACATATCATATTCTAATCAATATGAAAAATACTAGTCATTTTAAAATGAAATCATCAGCTTAATTCACTTCTATTGTGCTACAAAAAATTCCTGTTGCTGCAGTCAGCACAACTAAGGCCCTACGAGCTATGGACTAGGAGTGAACAAAAGCCAGATTTTCTTGTCCTGGGGAAGTGACTTTTCTGGCATGTGTTTGACTGATGCCTGCTCTCAAGTTCTGACACAATAAATACATTCCCATGGACAAGTTGGTTCATCATGGTCAGTGATTTCTGAGGAAAAATGCCAAATGAGAACCTCTTCTTTATACTTGCATGTGTTGGATCCAATAAACTGGAAATTAAACCTTATAATAATTTCTGTAAAGAAAACAAGAGAACCAAACGTTCTCACAGAGTAATTTTAGGTTCTACGTAGGAGTTTGTTTTGTGTGTAATATTCCCAGACTCTTCTCAGTGATGCCCAGCAAAAGGACAAAAGGCAATGGGCATAATCTGCAAGACAGGAAGTTCTGTCTGAATACGTGGAAAAAATTCTTTGCCCTGAGGGTGAGTGAGCACTGAAACAGCTTGTTCAGAGAGCTTGTGGAGTCTCCTTCCCTGGAGATATTCAAAAGCCAGCTGGACACGATCCTGAGTAATGTGCTCTAGGGGACTCTGCTTGAACAGGGAGGTTGGACTAGATGATCTCCAGAGGTCTCTTCCCACCTCAACCATTCTGTGATTCTGTGAAATCTTCCGTATTTACAATTTTTAAATTCAGTTGAAAATCTGTAATGTGGCACAGATCCATTAGTGCTCCAATGAGCTCAGTTGTGCTTCAAATGCTGAAGGAAGATTTATGTTCCCAGGTAAAGATCAGACAGAAGTGAAAAGCGGGGGTTCATTGAACCTAAAGGCTGTTTAGAGCCAGAATGTTCATCATTTGCACAGGGACATGTCTTCAGTAAGATTAAAAAACAAGCCTACAAAGATGGCAGTGGTCTTACCTGAAATCTTATAATTTGTACCCAGCAATCGTTTCAGTCCAAACCACAGAAAATGCATTCAAGCCAAGTCTTCTCATAAAGTAGGTTTCTGTACATATCAGCCTAACATAATGTAACCCTAAGTAGTTAATCCTCCAAATTAAGTGCTGCCTCGCATCCCTTGATACAGTAGAATAATCCCTGCTCATCCAAAAGCCATTTATCTTCATGGTTCAGGGATTCCTGAAACAGTTAAATGAATAGCCCTGCTCTGCGTAGTTAAGCATGAAAGAATAACATTCATTCTTCCATCAGCAATATTCAGAGAATGAGAAATAGACTTTGATTATTTACCTGATTGTGGAAACGCTGCAGTCCTGAAGGAATAGGCCAATCTGATAATGGTACAGGAAATGTAAGAGCTGTTCACCGGCACAAAAGACTTAATACTTTTTATGTGATGGAATTGTTTCAGACTATAACAACATTTGTCATAAGAGAGAAGATAAAGTTTGTACGTGATATAATCAGTGGCTAAGCAACAACAGCAATGGATCATAAAAGAAGAAGAAACATTCATTAGTTTTAAGGAGTTAGGCTCTAAAATGTAGTTTGAAATACTGGAAGGGGGAAAATGCATAAAACTTATTACTGAAACTAT